GTTTACTAGTTGTAACAGTTGGTTTTTTATGTGGAATCTTTAGGGTTTTCTACATATAAGATGTCATCTGCAAACAAAGATTAATTTTAATTTTTCCTTTCCAATTCGATGGCTCATCTTTTTGCCAACTGAAAGGAGTAGTCCTGAATTAGAGTTCCCTGGTCATTAGAAACTTTAATACCAATCCCTTAATGCAAAATTCACATATACTGTTAAAAGTCCCAATCTTCAGGCTCTATCTCCAGATCTTAGGCTCTCATTCTCTCCCTTCTGCTCCTAAGGAGTACTGCAGCAAAAAATTTTTGAACACTAACTGGTTACAGCATCAAGCTTAAGACCCATCAGTCTCTCAAATATACAACATAAATCTTAACAGTTATTGGTTTATAAACTCCCTTGAGAATTTGATAAAAACTATGAATCTTTGATTCGGGAAAAAAATGCACAAAGTTCTGTCTACAGTTTCAGATTTATGGCTCTCCTGAAGTTCAACCATGTACCTCTTACAGATAAAATACAGTCACTTTACCTAGTCAATTCTATTTCTACTAAACATACAGCCTCTTCACACATATTGGTTATTTCAACTACACACAAACTATAATGTCCTCTCTCTCATTCCCAATTCAATGCTTTTGATCACCACTTCTCCCACATCCTAATTTCACTTTTTCCTCAAAGTCCAACTAAAATTCCCCATTCTTCCAAGATATTTGTCCAACCTATTGTCCTCTCTCCCAACTGTATCATTCATTCATTATATATTGGGAAGCTTCTCTGTGCCAGGCCATGTTCCAAAAGCTGGGGATGCAGAAATAAACAAGACCCAGTCTCTGTCCTCAAACACAGTGCTGCTTACCCAAAAGACAAATTAAACACATACTTGGGACCCACACTCACAGAGTGAAAATTATTTTAATAAATAAAATATTCCAAAAGATAATAAACTCACATTTACTTTAGCATTTGTTTTATTTTAAACTGTATTTTGGGGAGGGTCCTCATAATCTTTTCAGTATTCGTTTCTCAGTTTTTATCTAGTCCTGCCAGCCTAGTGGGGAAAAAAAAATCTTTGTATTTGAGAAAGATCACTATTGGCTACATAAAAGAATGGCTTAGAGGGGACAGTTGGGTGTGTAACTGGAAACCAACCAGGCAGAAGGCTGTAATGCAAAGGAAGACAATGGTAACCTGAGTTAAACTGTAGGAGTTGAAAGATGTGGGGAAAAAAAAGAGAAATGAGGCAGGGAGAATTTATCACATTTGGTGATGAGATGTTCCTGTTTTCTGGGTTGAAAGACTGGGTACATGATGGTGCTACTCTTTAGGAGAATAAGGGAAGAAGGGAAGATTGGAGTTTGGGTAGAAGAACTGGAAAGGTTTAGTTTCAGATCTCCAAATGTAAATGCCCACTTGGCTTTCAGGTATCAGGTCTGAAAATCAGGGAAGAAACTTAGGCTACAGATACTATTTTACAGATCAGAAGCAGACAGATGGTAACTGAAGCTTTTAAAGAGAGTAAGAATCCAGGGAAAATGGATAGAATGAAAAAAATTGTTCAATGATTATGAGGTAGGTGGTTTAATAGAACCAATAATAGTAACAGTTAACACTTAATGTGCCCTCTCCATGAGCCTGGTACTGTTCTAAACACTTTACTCACATAATCTTTAAAAAAAAATAAAACCCTTTGGGGGCGCCTGGATAGCTCAGTAGGTTGGGCATCCGACTCATGATTTTGGCTCGGGTCATGATCTAGGGGTCATGGAATCAAACCCCGCGTCCAGCTCTGTGTTTAGTGTGGAGGCTGCTTGGGATTCTCTCTCTCTCTCCTCTCCCTCTACCCCTCCTCCCACTTGCATTCTCTCTCTAAAATAAATAAAATTAAAAAAAATAAAATCCTTTGGACTTAGGCACTATTATCATTATGCCATTGTATATTCAAGGAAACCAAGGCACAGTGCAGTGAAAGATTTGCTTAAAATTACACATCTAGTGAAGTGGTGAAGCCAAGATTTGAAGACAGGTAGTCTGACTTCAGAACTTTGCTCTCATTCTATATAAACCTCAAAGCAGTTCTGGAAGGTAGGCATTTTTATCTCTACAAATTTAAAGTGAGGCTCAGAGAAGTTGCTCTTACCCGTTCATATCTCAGTTATAAGCAGGGATTTAATTTTTTTTTGAAGATTTTTATTTATTTGACAGTGAGAGAGACACAGCAAGAGAGGGAACACAAGCAGGGGGAGTGGGAGAGGGAGAAGCAGGCTTCCCGCCGAGCAGGGAGCCCAACATGGGGCTTGATCCCAGGACCCCGGGATCATGACCTGAGCTGAAGGCAGACACTTGAAGACTGAGCCACCCAGGTACCCCGTGGGATTTAATTTCTCTCATAATCTGTTATGATGCCTAGCCGAGTACTAAGTATTTGTTTATAAACAGTATTGTTACTAATACTTCTAATAAGCACACTGAAGGGTTAGCTCCCATTTACCTTCCACAAGTTCCTTGAGGGTGTACCACAACATAAAGTATAAACTAAGGCAGGGGGGAGACACAGGTACATGAAATAGTGAACCCTACCCCAGAGAACAGCAAAAGGAAGTCCCAGGACAAAACCCTTATAATAGGCATAGAGATTGGAGCAGGACGGTAAAGTCTGAAATGGTGGTCCTCATGGGGAAAACTTTTGAAATCTAAAAATTAATACAACTGGGGCACCTGGGTGGTTCAGTTGGTTAAGCAACTGCCTTTGGCTCAGGTCATGATCTTGGAGTCCTGGGATCGAGTCCCACATCCGGCTCCCTGCTCCGTGGGGAGTCTGCTTCTCCCTCTGACCCTACCCCCTCTCGTGCACTCTCTCTCTCAAACAAATAAATGAAATTTTAAATTAATACAACTGAAAGCTTAGAAAACTTGGAAATATGATAAAGGAATCTGGTAGAATGTAGAAAATACGTTATTTTAACTTGCCTCTAGCACTGTTCTTCAATGAGGGGATTAGGGTCACTATATTGTTGCCAAAGGGAAGGAAATGTTATCCTAGCAGCCCACGGTTCTGTAGTTGAAATTCCTCTTATTACTGTATTTTGTTGATTATGAGACTTTTCCCCCCACATTTTAACACTTCTGAATGGGATGCATCTTACAATCAATGGTGTGTCATGGGTTAACTAGTTGTTTATTTTCTTTCTTAGTCATATATAAAATAATGTTTCATCTTACAATCAATAGCATGTCGGATTTGATCAACTGTGTCAGGCACAGCTTTAAATACTGTATAATATACTCTTTCTCATTTAATCTTCGTAAGTTTTATGCAGCTGTGTTATTATTACCATATTTGCAAATAAGGAAACTCAGGCTCAAGGACTAAAGATGCTTAAGGACAGGTGTCAATTAAGTGACAAAGCTAGAATTGAAAATCAGGTCTGATTTCAAAGGTCATGCTCTTCTTGACAGATGGCAGCTACAATCGTGGTGAGTACAGTATAACAGAGTTGTGGAATCACTACTTTGTGCACCTGAAACAAATGTAACATTGTGTTGTCAACTGTATTTCAATTTAAAAAAAAAAAGTCATGCCCCTTTTGTGCTTCAGTATTTACCATGAGCGATACAGAGTTGAATAAAAACCTATCCTAACTTTTAGTCATACTATGATCTAGCTCAAATGTGAAGCCTTCCCCAACTCCTCCAAGAAGAACCAATTTTGCCCTCATCTCTGCTCCCATAACATTTAACGAATACCTTGATTATACCTTATTATAATGTTTAACATCCAAGGAGAACCTTGGAAGTCAGGTACAATATTTTAGTCACCCTCTCTGACCCTACAGTGCCTATCACTGTTCTCGACACATAGTAGAAATTCATTGCTAAAAGGAGACAGGCTCTCTGCTGCTAAGTCTTAAAGAGACAAGAAATGCACATAAAGCTAAAAAAGACCAAAAGTAGAACTCTAAGTACAGTGGAGTTTAAGAAAAAAGAACCAATGATAGAAAGTACAAGTCAAGGGGAGACAGTTCCGCCAGCTTCCAGATTTTCATAAACACAAATACACTCGTACAAACAGAATCAGCTTGAAAAAGTTGAAAACTTCTACACAGGCTGAAACCAAGCTTCTAAGACATTTCCTTTAACCTATACAGCATTTAAAAACTTGAGTTACCAGCATTTATAAATTGAACTTTCACATAAAATCAGGACTTCTGGGTTTTCCTGGAAAACGGGAAGATAACGAAAACTGGGTGCTCCTTCTCCCAGGGAAACTGGCTGGATCTGAGTACCAATTACTCCTTTCGGATAAAATTATCACTCCCTTATTTATGCTAGTACCTCCCACCGTTTCCTTCTGCCCAGCCCGCATAAGATCATTTATATGCAACCAGCCGAGGCATTTGGGTTTATGACCCCTTCTCCAGACACATCACTCACTGCTCTATTACACACCACGTATTCTTCAGCACCGGCGTCTTCGCCTACAAAGGCCCCCCGCAAAGCACTCCTACTCATCTAAGCATTACTTCGATTCCTTTTCTCTGACCACCCCCTCAACTGGGTCACCGCAGCACACTGGCCATATCTCTATTAAAACCCTAATCACACCGGATGTACAAGTTTCTCTCCTTCGCTAGGACAGGAGTTCCTTGAAGCCAGCAGCCACGACTAACTGATTTTCGCGTCCCCAGTTCCAAACCCGTGGCCTTGCATCTAACGCAGGCGTTCAGTAAACTACCTAAAGTCTCAGAGGTGGGGCTGAGGCAGAAGCGCAGACGAGCGCACCCAAGTAGATTCCGGCCGAGAGGAGAGCGCCCATCACCCCAGCGAAAAAGAGCCACCGCGCGAAGTCCCGGAGTCGCACTTCCGTCGCGAAAACTCAAGTTCCAGCTCTCGCGAAAACTCAAGTTCCAGCTCTCGCGAGATTCGGTTTGAGTGCCCGCCCCCGAGCCGGCGTGGTTCCCCCTAGATTCGCGCGGCCACGCAACTCTCCGGAAGTAGCCCTTCCGGCGCTGTGCCCCGGAAGCGGAAGTGTGACTGTAGTCTGTCAGAGAGTGTTACTCGGTGGTCCAGGAATCTAGGGAAGTCGTCGTTTAATTTTTGCAGGCTCTCGAGCGCTTCCCCCCTGGCGGGTGGGAGTGCAGAGAGGAAAGTGCAAGATGAGCACCATGTTCGCGGACACACTGCTCATCGTTTTTATCTCCGTGTGCACGGCTCTTCTTGCCGAGGGTGAGAGCGGCTGCTTCTCTGACGTTTGATCAGCCCCCATGGGAAGGATCCTAGGCCTGGGGACCCTCGCGCCAGCAAGGGAGTGGTCGCGAGCCTTGCTTGCTTGGGGTTGGGATGGTGGGGGTGCTCATCTACTCCAGAGAATCGGGGCCAATCGGGAACAGGAGCGGGAGGGGTAGCGTGGAGTCCGGTTTAGGGTCGATTTCACTTGCGTATTTGTGGAGACACCTTCATACCATGTGTCCGTTATTTTGGTTGAAGAGTCAGATGTCTTAACATTTGAAAAAAGTTAACTGGTGGTAAATATAAAGCAAAAAGTTGAAATCCCTCCTCACCCAACAGTGACCGCCAGTAAGTTTGCTGTGACCATTACAAACATATTTTTCTGTTAGCATGTTGCTTTTAATGTTTCAGGTATAACCTGGGTCCTGGTTTACAGGACAGACAAGTACAAGAGACTGAAAGCGGAGGTGGAGAAACAGAGTAAAAAACGTGAGTATGGCAACATCCTTTAGATACAGTTTCAACAGGTCAAGTTCATTGAATGCATGGAAGCCTTTGTGATGGAGATGGCTGGTCGTCCTTCTTGGATAGTTAGAATTTGGATAGAGAATGAGCTGGAGGTAGGAATTCCAGGCGAAGAAAATCAGATATGTGCAAAAATATGGAAATTGTGGTGAGAAGATGTGTTTGGAGAACAACAGGTCATTATGATTAGTATCCAGGTGAGCGGTGTCTTCAGGGATAAGGCAGATTTCAGTTGTGTGAGGCGGTTGAAGGACAGTTTGAGTAAAAGGTTAAGAACAAGTACAGTTTGTGGTCTTTGAATAAAGCAGGAACTCCACAGGACACAGCTGAGGGGACTGCTAGAGGTATAATGTGAATGGTTCTTTATAGGTTTGATGTAGCTTTCAGTGTTCTTTTCTGCCTTATAAAGATTAAGTATAACTTTTGTATCTTAAAATTCCTCTGACTTTCTGTATTCTGTGACATCTTTATGTCTTCATAAGGGTTTAAAGTTTTCTTCCTTACAATATCTCACTTGATCCACATAGCAACCATTTGTGATCAGTTGTATAGATATTATTCTTTCTTTATAGAAAAGGAAAGTGAGGTTCAGAGAGGTTAAATAACATACTAATATCATAGAGCAAACAAAGAATTAGAAACCAAACTCGGGCTTTTGAAATTATAGTTTACTGGTCCTTGACGTATTCAGTGTGGATAATGCACCTCAACATATTAAAAACCAAGCTCATTATCTTTACCTTCACAAACGTGATCCTCCTCCGGTATTTCTCTACGTGACGAATGGTACCTCCATGCTTCTGATAGTGCAAGCCAGAAACCTTGATACACTTTCTTCACTTCGTTTTCAGGACATCACACTCTCTTGGTTTTGCTCTTCCCTTACAGGTCTTTTTTTTTTTTTTTTTTTAAAGAGAGGTAGGGGAATTGGGAAAGGCAGAGGGAACGTGAGAGAGAATCTTAAGCAGGCTCCATGCCCAGCACAGGGCCTGAAGTGAGGCTTGATCCCAAGACTCTGACCTGAGCTGAGATCAAGAGTCAAACTCTTAACCGACTGAGCCATCCAGACGCCCCTTGCTGGCCATTTTTTGCAGTTTCCTTGTTGGTTCCTCTTTTCAACCTCTTGTTTTTGGGCACCCCAGTTTGTTTTTAGTCCCCTACACTCACTCCCTTGGTGAATTTAGTCATGTGCTCTATTTGTCAGTGGCTCCCAAATTTATATCCCTAGCCCTCTCTCCTTAATGCAAGATCCATATATCCTTGTAATAACATCTGTATGGTGAGCGATGGCATCTACACTTGTGGTGAGCATAGCATAATGTGGAGAGAAGTTGGATCACTATGTTGTACACATGAAATTAACATTGTATGTCAACTATGCTCAAATAAGGATTTACATATCAATTTGTCAATTATACTGTAATGTCGAATATACATTTCAAACCCAACATGTCCAAATTGAATACTTTTTCCTCACTTAAGGCTGTTGCATTTGTAGCTTTCAGGATCTTGGTCAGTGGCAGGTTTGTCCCTCTACTTGCTCAGGCCATAATCCTTGTGCAGTTATCTTTAACTCTTCTCTCACACCCCACATCTAATACTTTTGGGCTGCCTTTAGACATATCCAGAGTCTGACCACTTTCCATCACCTCCATTGATAACTACCTTCAATCTTTGCATGAATTATTGCAGCAGCCTCCAACAAGTGTTCCTGTTTCCCTATAGTCTGCTCCCAAGATAACAGCTAGAATAATCCTTTTTTTTTTTAAAGTAGGCTCCACATCCAGTGTGGAGCCCAATGCAGGGCTTGAACTCAGGACCCTGAGATCAAGACCTGAGCTGAGATCCAGGGTCAGATGCTGAACTGACTGAGCCACCCACGTACCCCCAGAATAATCCTTTTTAAAGCTATTAGAGCATGTCCCATCCCTGTTCATAACCCTGTGATGGTGTCCCATTTTCACTCAGGAACAGCCAGAGTCCTTACAGTGGCCTGTGGAGCTTCCCCTGTTACTGCTCTGATATTCTTCTCTCACACACTCTGCTTCAACCACACTGACCTTGCTGTTCCTCTCTGTACATCAGCCACACTCCTGTCTCAGGAGCTTTCTACTGGCTGTTCCCTCTGCCTAGCATGTTCTTCTCTATGATATCGGCTTAGTTAGCCCCATATCGTCTTCAAATCTTTGTTCAAGGTTTACTTCTGTGAGTCTTGACCACCCTCTTTAAGACTGCAGCCTGCTCATCTCTTCTACCTCTGCTGCTCCTCATCTCCCATACCCTGCTCCATCTTTTTTTTTTTTTTTAAAGACTTTATTTATTTATTTGACAGAGAGAGAC